TTCTATTGTGAGCAGTTAAAAGCAGATTCAGGCCCATCATGACACGATTGTTACACCAAGAGAACCATTGATTTATTGCCTTGTATGTAATTATTCCTGGAGATGTATTTGGCACAATTATAAATCCAGTCCTGTAAACACATCCTGTCACATATAGTCACACTGGCATTTATGTATGGGCACTATGAAATAGCTCCACATATCTGTATGATAATATCCCCTTTTTTGTGAACGTTACAAGACAACAATAATTTATGAATACTTCTTACATGTTAGCAATGTCTTCTGACTTCTGAGCGTATACAGTACTCTCGCTTATGCAAACCAAGAGAAGTAGTATCTTTTTAATTTGTTCGCTACAGGAACAATGTTTTTTTTAAAGTTTATTTGAAATAGCTTTGACAATTTAAAAAAATAAAATAAAAATCCTAGCATATCTGTTAATAAGCTAGCTGTCTAAAAATGAAATCTATATGACCAAAACCACATTTTGGGCAAACATATATACATACTGCATGTGATACAAAAAACAGCACACAGCAGAGGAAGTAAGAAAGAAATGTGTGCAGAAATGTTCACTTTTCTTTTTTTAAATACTGTTACAAAAGGGGCAGAACTTAGTCCTGCAGCTAATGATGTTTCTGATCCCCTCAGGAACTCAAGTTCCCCCTGTCAATACACATAGCACAAAAAAGACTAATGCAAATATTTTTATATTGTTTAGTTTTAATCCATGTAAACTTGTGTTGTATTCTTGAAACACTCTTTAAACATCTTGAAGGGGAAAGAAGCAGGGAAAAAAAGGGAAGAAAAAGGACCTTCAAAAAACAGGAATAATCCTAAGGTTGACAGGAAATCAAATCATGAGTAAAATGCTAATTTTGGCATCAAATGCTTTGGTCACACAATACTGACTCTGTGATCCTGGATGCTCAGCTCTAGACACCCAGTTATGAAAGGTAGGCGTGTTGTAGTTTTTCCATTTAAGTTCCAACAAACAGTTCACCATCTCCCCAGACAAAGAGGGGGGAGAGAGAGAGAGGTGGCTTTTTTTTTCCTTTTTTTTTTTTTTTTCCTTTTTCCTTTTTTCTTTTTTCAATAATATGGATTAATCTATAAGTCTACAGGAGCAGGAGGATGCTGGGAGGTGCCAGTTCACCCCTTGTGCGTACATGTTCTGCAACACAATTGCTGAAGCACTTTCCGCTGGCAGAGATTGTTCTTTTTCACCAGCATACAGAATCCTCCCTCGGCCCAAGACTCTTCCGTGGCTTCCGGAGGGCAGCAGCAAGAGAAGAAGGGGAGGTTGAAGGTTTGGAGAGCATGGCGTGTACAATGGAGGAAGATTTAATTGGTCAGACAGGCAGATTTGGTTGAAGAGACCATTCAGGAGCAGGTAGCAAGTAGGAAATTTGGTCCATCGAAAGGAATTTCAGTCAACAGCATTTTTTTTTTTTTTCAGGAAGAGATATTGTGTGGTCCAACAGGGAATGATTGGTATCCATTTGTGAAAAGGAAAAAAAGATTAGAAAGAGAATAATTAGAAAACAGTGGTATTTACAGCAAAGGAATTTGTTCTCAATTTTTATGAATCAAAAGAATAAAACACTCAAACTGCAGAAAAAGAATAAAACACTCTCAACAGAAATGCAAATCCTATAGAGTGAGTTAGACTAGTAACCAGTGCTTGATTGTCAGGCAATGAAATGAGACCCTCTATGCTTTGCAAATTAACAGAAGAAAAACCCTTCTGGACTTTCCTTGGCTACCCGAGACTGTTGAGAACATGTGCTGTGTGGTGGGATCCAGCATGGTGCATTGCAATTGCCTGAAGGCCCACACACTGATGTGTTGCCCTTTCATGGCAGCTGCACTTGGAAGAATGGGGGAGACAGTACTGAGATGGGGTTTCCCCAGTCTTGGGCAACTACATGTGTATCTGATTGAAGTTGCATGTGTACAAATGAGGACAGATTCATCCAACCATATTAAAGACCAAACTGGTAGGTCAAATGTTTGCGTTGCAGAATTCAACTGCAATACCATACTGAGACTGTGGTTACTCAAAACTCTTAGCATTACACTTTCTCTTAATTTGTCCGTCCATATCTGACCTTCTCTGGACTTGCTCTAGATTACAATGACACTTATAATGTCCTGATGTGAAAAGGTCTCATGACTGGTTTACCAGTACCTGTAATGTAACTTTACGATGGACAGGATACTTTTCGAAGTTTGAAGGCCTAAATTCCAACAGGATCTGTAAAGGTCCACAGAAACAAGGCTCAACCCTGCACCCTTTCTGTTTTATTTTTCTTATGTCTTTGGTAAATCTCTTACTAAATCCAGCAGAAATGAGCTGGACCCAAGAGTCATTGTTAGCTTTTCATACATCTGATGTCAGGTATCTTCCACATGGCTTAACACTGGGCTTTGTTCTGGTATGATTTTCCTGTTGGACTGCACTTGTTGGGCTGTGTCTACAAGTAATTCACATAGTAACATTTTTAGGGAAGCAAGATGTTATCTAAGTGTCTCTCTAATTGTGACATTTGAAAGCAATGAATATTAGTGAATAATTAAGCCAATCATATGCAATAAGAATGCTATCTTGGTTGCCACAGAGAACTTGGAGGAAGTTCAAATACCACCACAAATTGGGTGCTCCCTATTTCAGAATTCTTTTGTTCTCATTACCCTTTTACATAATTCAAGCAATACTAAAGGCACTTAAAATCCCTTTTACTTACCAGCATTTTCACAGTTTAAAGTGGCAAAATAGATGGATGTGATTCTATTGATAGTACACTAGGGTCTTCATATAAAAATCTTTTGAAAGCAATGGCTTTTGAAAAACAGGTAAGGAAGGAAAAGTAGGTTGTTGGCAGGGGGTAAAACTATTTTAGGAAAATTCAGGTAAAGTGGATGTGACTAATCTTGTTAATACACGCAAATGTAGTTTTCTCCTTTTCATAAACCTGAAAAAATTAAGAAGTAATGGAGACCTCAAATCAAGACTGTAACAGAAGAAAAGAAACAGACCAAACCAACCCAATACATGTAAAAGAAGAAGCTGGCAGTCGTGAAATGGATCTCTTCAGACAATTGCACTCACCATCCTTGCAGACTGTTCCCACTACACAGACACCAGTGTCTAGGTTATAGCCGCTTGGACAGCTCGTACAGTTTCTGTCTCCTTGACCACTGCAATCCAAACAGCTGGCATCGCATCTGAAAGACAATGGCAGGAGTTGGTCTTATGGCCTCACCAAACACAAGAGTTCCTAGGAGACCTCTTCTGTATTGCAAAGGGCTTGTTTGCTGTTTCTAGAGGTATCAGCTGCTATACTACTACTACTACTACTACTACTACTACTACTACTACTACTACTACTACTATGACTACTACTACTACTACTACTACTAAATTAACTCCCTGTGCAACCCAGTCCTGCTTCTTTCCTCCAACCACTTTCTATTCACACTTTTTTACTAGACAGCTGCATTATTCTAGTATTTTGGAACTATGAAGAAGTAATCAACAAAAGTATTAAGCTGATCACGCACACATGTGCCAGCAAGGCATGCGCTTAAGCCACATGATGGAAAAGAAAGACTGACCTGCTGCCCAGTCCTTTCATCACCCTTCTGGCTCCATCATATTTTCATTGTGTATCGATTATTTTTTTGTGTGGAAATCTGTAACGCGTGGTGATTTCCTTCCTGCCCTGAACTCAAAGTTAGTCAATAATAAGTGATTCCAAAGGATAACGAATGGTATTTGTTTAACAAAGAATGGAATAGAAAAAAAAGTCCCTTCCTTGCACAGCACAGCCTTGTCCAGGATCTATCCACCCATTGGTACCCTGAGACAGGTGAGCTATTCTGGACAGCAGTCTGGTAGTATACCTGTGGCATGTTTGTGAATATGCAGCTGAAGAACTAAAATGGTCCTTATGAATAGTAATTAACTTGCAGTTAAAAAATACTAGTTTGACTATTTTGGTTTGTTACTGAGAAATGCGGATCCTCTGCCAGATTTGTAAATTTTACATTTCTATGCATATATACTTAGATTCTCACTACGAGTTTTTTTAAAGTGGGCACACATACACGTGCAAGAAAAAACATTTTTAGAAGACCTGCATGAGTATAACACAGATTAAAATAAAAAAAAAAGCTTTTCCTTCATTTGCTTAGCATGCAATATGTTTTTCCTATTTTTCTCATACATATTATCTTTTTCAACATGGTAATAGCTAATATACTGCCAAACATCAAGACACATATGAGCCGCTGATCATACCTTTTGCAGCTTTTGTATCCACTTTCAGTAGAGTGATCAAGGTAATAACCACTACTACAGGACTGTACACATCTTCCATCTTCCATAAAATAACCCTGTGTGCAGTTTATACAGGCATCTACTCCAGCACCTTAAACCAGAGAGAAAGTACACTGTATTACTGGCTAGTTCCTCTTATTGCCTAACAGACGCCACCTCTAACTGTAGCAAAATCTAATAATTTTAGAGACTATGTTTTACCTGCCTTATTTTCTTTCAAACAGTAATATCAAGCAATAAAGGTACATGGTTAGAATAAACAACATTACATAATTTCAGCCTATCTTTTTCTCAAAGAAATGGCTGTTGGTAGTTCTAACGCTCGCACAAAATCGATCAGTCATTATTCCATCCCAGAAAGAAAATGGAGGGCATTACTGGAAATCAGAATGAGCTCTACTAAGAGAAAAAATTAAAAAAAAAAAGAAAAAGAAAAAAAAGAAAAGAAAAGAAAAGAAAAGAAAAAAAGAAGAGTATGTACACTTTCAATTAGAAAACTTAAATTTTCATGTTAGCTGAAAGAAGTCTGCTGTATTTAAAATATATTAAATAGCTATCAAGACAATTAAGTTTTTACATGTAAACAATGACGTTATTCTGTAACTGTGTTATAGTACAATAAAATCAGAGCTAAAAATATAGAGGAAAGGAAATGATGCAGATAAATGTCAGTGGAGTACCTGCACACGTTGCACAGGAACGGTGACATGGTTCACATTCTCTACCATTATGGTATTTTCCTTCTTCACAGCGGATAGCACATTTAGTGCCATGCAAGCTATCGTAAAAAGGAAAAAAGCACAGTGTTTGGGCAGATAACAGCAACAGAGGACAACAAGGTCATGCACAAACCAGTAGTTCTCTTTTAATAAAAGAACAACCCATATATTAGGATTCACCAACTTCCTTCATTGGTCATATTTTATAAATTTAGAGACAGCAATCACTTCAAGTGGGAATGAAATGCAGTTTTGCCCATGGTGAAATACAAAAGCAGTTTACAAACTCACTGTAAATACTACCAAGTAGTAGGGGACAGAAAAAAAAAGAACAATGCCAAAGAGTACTAAAAATTCAGGCATGTAAAATGCAATTACCCACGAGGAATTTGGCACAGGGTCAGCACCACTGCATCCAGGAAAATGCTACGGGACTTGTTAACAAGATCTCCCGCTTCTCTTGAAAGACCAGCAGCATCTCCTGATACTATGCTACAGCACAGGCCAAGAATAGATTGACAGTGAAGGAAATCACCACCTCTTTCTGCAATAGCAGTTTCCTTTGAAACCTCCTAACTGAATGCCAGTTCTGAGTGGCTGGGGAGATTTGTCAAGATTACAGTCGGAGGTATTCTGCCTGCAGGCAGTTTTGAGAGAGAGCACAAAAGAGTGAGTGACAGTGGAAAAAGAAATAGCATGGAGTCGCATTTCCATGCTTCCCTCTAAGTAGCTGTTCATGCTTTTGTGTTATAAGGTGCCTACAGCAGGTTTGGTTGTTGTTTTTTTTTAAGCTAGGACTTCTCTGCCATGTTTGCCATCTTCTGTGGAACCTCAGCTTTCATCCAATTTAGCTCTTTCTCTAAAGATGCTCTTCAGCTCTGGTGATTACCACCCTGAGTGAGTGGAAACCCTGTTTTACAGATTGGATCCAGCAAAAGTCCTGTGTGCTCAGCACCACTGGAAATTTTCAAGAGTGTGCATGGTCCCAGTTTAGAAAAAAATTAAATTAGCGATTCAACAAACCTAACAACCCCTGCTTTCTTATTATTTTTCCCCAGTCACACACCTCAAAGTGCTTTACAAGGCAGATAGCATTATCATCTTTTTACAGATGGGAAAAGCAATAATTTGCCCAAGTTTATTCAATGGGCCAGTAACAGGACCAGAACCTGAATCCAGGTCTTCCAAGTCCCAGCCAGGGCCCTGCCCATTGATAACTCTGCCAAAAAAATGCAACAAGTTTCCAACAACTGGGGAATATGAAATGCATGTCCTGCAAGGCTCCATTTATCTGTCACACCCACACAGATGGTGTTTTTTCAAAACATTACCAAAAATTAATCTCAGTTTGCTAATATTGCCCCAGAAAACATGAAGTTTGGGTTCTTTTGATCAGAGAAATTGATCTCAATTTCTCTTTCTCTTCTCACACCGAATGGACTTGTCTACTCTCTTCAGTGGTGCTACAAGCTGCTGTTTGTGTAAATGGACAGGGAAACTCAGCTCCAGAGAAATAAAGAAAATGTGGGCAAAACTTTTCTACAACAACTGTGTCCTATAAGGTCACAAATCTATGTAATCTTTGGTCTCCTGACATATTTGCCCATTCTAGGAACTTCTAAACTGCTAATTTACTAATTTGATTTTGCAGATACACAGAAGGTCATACTGAATCTGTTAAAATTCTCCAAAATCTTAACATGGACTGCAAATTTAATAACATTTTAAAAGGGAAGCAGATACTCATATTTCACAGACAGTGTAAATAGACCAATGTTCTGATCTGATCCCATGCTTTCCTTCCCATTAGATCACACTTCCTTTTCAAAGTTTTTCACTTAAAAAAAAATAGAGATATTCGTAATAAAAATTGTGCAGGCACTTGGAAAATCTAGATGCAATGTAAATACACAGAAATAAGAATTCCTTTACAAAATGTAAAGGGATTCAGCTATTGATGTCCTAGAAACAAACAACATTCAGCTTTTACTAAGAGATGAAAATCCACTTTGATGGAAAGTAAAAGCTCAGTGTTAAAACATTTGCAGAACACTGGTATTCTGCAAGAAGAACCCCTATAGGTGCTGAATATTGGCTTCATATTTTTTGTGGCATAAAGCCAGCATACATTCTGTCATGAGTTTTATAAGATTTTTGACCTTTGCTGCTTAGATCAAAAGGTCATTCATTCATAAAGGAGCTTGAAATGTGTACTGCTGCTTTGTAGGTTTTACCTATCTGTTTCAAGAATGATTAAGTCCTCCAATGAAGAAAAAATATCCACTGCTGTTTAAAATATGTGCACACTATATTGTAATAGAATTGAGCCTGAGGTACTTGAGATAAGTGAATGTCTGGATGTGTGAAGAAATACAATAAAGATAAGAAAATAGTTTCTAACTATCACAGGAATTAATCAGAAAGATTAATATGTTTCATCAGCTCTACCTCTAAAATAATCCTTGACTGCCGCACTGTAGGTCAAAAAAGTGAAGAAGCCAGCTTTCCACATGACTGTGGCTTTTATTTTGTCTGAAATGAAAGGTCTTCTAAAAAATCCATTGTTAGCCAAACTGGCACATAATAGCACAAGAAAAAACTAAAGAGCGATGGAACACATGAAATGAGGGCCACTCAAGGTTAAATAGCTATCTGATGGTCTTCATTGTGTATCCACAGCCTTGTAAGCCTCTTCAGGTATTGTGTTTAGCTACATCCATCATTTCCCTACCTTAGGCCATGTTTGCATTCCGTGCAGATTTGGAATTCAACACAGGTCTTACAGTTTTCACTACATTTTCGGCAAACAATCTTATCTACAAAGGAAAAAAAGAAAACAACCCAGAAAACCTTGGTCAGTTATGTTTAATAAAACTATATGGATTTATTATTATGTAACTTATTGCTTTCTAGCTTGACATCAGGAAGAGAAGCAGCAAGCTAGACTAAAATAGCTAAATTCTGCCTTTTTCCATCAAACATCAAATGGTTTAATCTATTTCTAAACATTTGAAGTTATAGTTGTACTCTGAGAAAAATACGCTTTGAGGTTGTTAAACATCTTCATAAACATTTTAAATTTATATTAACTATTTATGATATGGACTTAAATAATCTTTTCATACAGCAGTGATATGCAGTAACGATTGCCATGTGTTCCAGAGACTGTCCTGCAATTTACCTCTTACCCTTTCCATGCAAGCAGCCTGTCCTGTCTTACCTGATTTGGTGCTTAAAGACACATCTGCATGAACAGGTCTGATCTTAACAAAGTCAACACATAAATTACTTAACACCTGCCTTTTCATCTCAAGAGCTCCCTACTTTAAGAGGTGTCTCTCTCTCTTCGGACCTGGTGTCTTTTGAGATGCAGTGCCATGTACCTTTCTGAGAAGAAAACCCTGATGTTCCCGTTTAGTCCTAAATTTTCATCTATCCATCTTAATTAGGTGGAATGGAATTCCCTTTACTGTAGTCTCACACAGTGAAAAATGGAAGAATTAAAGTAGTACCTGTTTTTACTAATCCTCAAAAATGAACTCACAGCTTCATGATGAAGAAAGCAAAAGGTTAGGTACCTTGATGAACAAAGCTCCTGAGCACATACTTATCTTCTAAGGATGTGTCTAAAGATAACTGAAGTCACTGCAGTTTTAAGCCCATGTTTGAATATATGTCTAAGTATTTTTGCTAGCCAAAACTGGAAATTAAACACGGGCAGTCTACTTGGCAATCACAGGAGGAAACTGAAGGCAGGTGTCTCACATGGCAGAGAATTAGTGCTCTTGGGTCATCACCTCATTGCAGATACTTAGGTCTGTCAGAAACATTAATTGCAACCACATTTTACATCTGAGGAGCCTATTTTTCTTAGACCTCCAGTTCAGTGGCCATGGTCGATTTCTCATCTCTCTCTTCTATCTGGTGTCATATTTGAATTTGGGGGAATGGGGAATGCCTCATGTTCAGAACATGGGTGCTGCCTGTACCTTTCTGGAGTAGTGATAACCTGATCTGTCCTGCAGCTGACTTGCTCTTGAACTGCCCTCATTCTGCTACAGTTACTCCCAGCCACAAGCAGAAAAAACATCCTGCCACTAAGCATGGTTTTTAAAATAAGGGAAGATTTTTGAGGAGCTTCTTGATCACACTTGGCAACAATTTAATAAGAGGAATAGGATAAGAGACAGATGCATCAACATATACTTTTCCTGCTCGTAAGTATTCCAGCAACCTCCCCAGATCAAATTCTGTAGCCCACAATAAAGAAACAACAAGAAATACTAACTCTTATCCAGGTAAAACCCATCAGGGCAGTTGGTAATACAGCTATTGGTTACTTCATTCAGGTAGTAGCCAGATTTACAGGTCATGCACTGGTCACTATGGCCTCCAACACAGGTTTCACAATTGGGTGAGCATTTTTTACAGCGTTTCTTGTCTGCATTGTAGTGACCAGGTGGGCAGGTCGAAACACAGATCCTGCAGACAGCAGGGAAGAGAAGGCAGAGTCGTTAATGAAATAACCTGCCACCACATTCCTGGACCATGACTGCAAAGCAGAAGTATTTCTCAGCATTGCTGCTTTTCTAATGATCACGTTTACTAAGATGTAACCCTCCAAAGCATTGTATCAAGCTGCCTCTTCTCTTCCATTTA